TTCGAAAAACCCGGCCTTAAATAAGTTTTTTTTTTTTCTTTTTACACCAAAAATTTTTTTTCTGTGTAAAAATAATAAAAATTATAAAATATATATATATATTTTACGATTCTATAATTTTAGTTAAGTTCTATAATTTTACTCTATAATTTTTTTTAATTTCAATGAAATTTTCTGTACCTAATATAAATTGGTTCGAAAATCGTGAGTTTGAGAATTCACAACTGTTTCTCGGTATATTCAAAACTTTTCCAATTTCTTCTTCGCCGTTTTATGCCCTTTAAGAAGTTCTTCAAGATGATAACTCTGCACAATTTCATTTGAAACGTATTACGCAGGATTTTAATTTGATTTTCGTATTATAATAAGCAATGCCGATCACTCTTCCGTCACGCTCTTCTCATCGCAGGAAATCCTGGAGAGTCAACGATTGACGACGCGAACCTGCAAGCCTTTCGATCGAAAATAGATATGAGGATTTTATAAGAGTATCAAGAGATTCTTTCGACGAGTGGAGTTACCGCTTGACTGATCGAAACCACACGCAGGATTCAGTTTTGTTTACTCCTAAAGACCGGCTTGATAGCAATGGCGCCTGCGCGCAGAATTGTCATTTATCATTTATTTATTACTAAAATTTATAAAAAACGTTGCTGATGCAAATGATAGATAAGAGAATGAATCAATTAAATTATTTTAGAAAATAAATGAATTTTGCATATACATAGTTTTGATTTTGATAATCTTAGAATAGATAATTATTTTATTAAAAATTGATCGTAATTCAAAATTTTAATCTTATATTTTTTATTGTTAGAAATTAATAAGAAAGTAATATATATTAAAGTCACTTATATGACTGTAAACGGTTCGCCTTTTGATATCTTGCAAACAGATTCGCAAACTCCAATTCGTTGGCATGCGAATAATTATGAATAATGCATGTTACACATTCTTTTTTGTATACAAGACAGCATACTGGTCAGGAATGATCTGCGTTAAATAAATGCCTTGCCCTTTCAAAGATGCAGGACACAATGGAAAGGACTACCAAGGAATGGCAATGAATTTAGATTTGTCAAGATTTGGATGCAATCCAATGATTGTGGCAACGATAGAAATCTATCTTTTGATTATTAATTAAAAATTAATTTCATTAACTATAGATAACAGAATTCTTCTGCAAAATATATGTTAAATAATCCAATGATACATAAAAATCGCAAATCAACTGCATATAATTATAAGTCTGTTTTTTATTTTTTGCTGCACTTTCTGAATTAGTATACATAGTGAAATAAGTTGAAGTAAAACAAGTATATGTTTGTTTCACTTTAACTTATCGCAATTCAGAGTGCAGCAATAAAAAACAGATCTTATATCTTTCTTCTTTTAGTAAATTGATTATCTCTAAATTTTCTTTTCCTTGATTTTTTTTAATACTTTTTTTTAGTTACATTCGACAAATAAATATATTTTTTGATCTACTTTTAAAATGCTATATGGAAAAATATTTAGAAAATTGATCCAATTCTTATCTATAAGTTTAAAGTTCTCTCTCTCTTTCTCTCTCTCTCTCTCTCTCTCTGTTTCTCTTTCTTTTGTTTCTGCTTTTATTGTTTAGCTTTTTTTTCTATATCAAAAAAATTCAAAAAATTCTACCTGCTGATTTCTTCTATCAAAAAAATCCAAAAAGCTCTACATGCTGATTTCCTGTATCAAAAAGGTTCAAAAATTCTACCTGCGTGATTACGCTCTACTCTTAGAATGTTGCTTTTTTATTATAATTCGGTTAATCTTGCGTACTTTAATAAAAATATTTTACAAATATTATCAACAATTTATTAAATTTTAGAAGACGTTGTCCCTTTAAAATAGACAAACTTTTTACGGAGAATAGAACGATTATTAATAGTTATTAAAGTGATAGTTTTCATCTTGATTTACTAATAAATTTTAATTAAATCACAACTGTACGACTTATGAGAGTTATGAATATTAATCTGAATATTCTTGAATGATAATTACACAGATAAAATTAAACCAATGCAAATTCAATAATTATATAACCCGAAGACAAAACAAAGAGAATTTTATTATTTTAAAGAGTCACATCGATTACTATTTATAAAATAAGTATTTTACTTATAAGCATCTAAAAATTTCTAAAAATTATTAAACTTTTTCACAATATATAAAAATGCAATGTAAATTGTTCTTTGTTATATATATTTTACAACTTTTTATTTATTTACACAAAAAATATATTTTTTTTTAATTACACCAGTCTGTTTGATTTTATAAGTTTTGTCATTTTTCATTATTATATTATTTATTATTATATTACTTAAATTTGCGGGAATATAATATGTTACTTAAATTATCGAGAATATATCGATTTTCATATATTGTCGAAACATAGATCATTATGCTATCTCTATACTATTCACAGAATGATTACAAACTAAAAATAGATATGTGCATTACACAAGATTTTACAGCTTATGCATGTAAAATATCAGCACTATAAATAGTATCACTTATATATAAAGTTTTTGGTTGATAAAGTTTGTCGATGCTGCCATAAAGATTTTAAACCTTCTTTGGCTGTTATAAATAATTTTTTGAAATAAGGATTTTTCTTGTTATATAAGGATGATATAAGGATGATTTTTCTTGTTATATCACAATTTCTCAATATAATCTTAAAAAAGACAGAAAATAAGACATACTACGAGATTAGAATAAACCTAAATAAAAAGTTCTAAAGATTTTTATTAAAAATTGATAAATGTGCAGTAAATACAATTATTAAATTTTAATTTAATTATTTTAGAAAGTAATAAGGTAATAAAAAAAATTAATATAAAATCTTATTTATTATTAATATAAAATTAATATAAAAATAATATCGAAAAATATAAACGTTGTTAAAAATATTCTTATAGACTGTAATTTTTTTATTGCAATGCAACTCTTTTCTTATACAATTGTTAACAATTTGTTGTGACGCACGTGTCGATATCGTGAACGAATCTGTATTCTCGTGAATTAAGATGTGCTGCTTAAAACGAAGGTTTACCTTTACATGGTAAGCTATAAACATACAATAGTCGATATCAAAACTAACAAGGAAATTAATTTAAATAATGCAGTTGCAATCGACGCCATTCTTGCATAACAATTACTTAAATTGTAATGCATAAGACAACTTTATGATCCGGCAGTCATTTTTGTTTTCTCACTTAATGTAGTAGATCCAAAATTAAATGTTATTGTCGTTATTGAATTAATTATTAATGCAAAAAAAGAATTCTACTAATTTATATTTCTTATGTAAAGCAAAATTATAATATTAAAATTACAATTATATAAAATAATATACAATACATTTTTTTGTAATGAATTTATGTGTGCTCTATATATTTTGACGATTATTGAAAGATCTCTTAAAGAGTTAAAAAAATTTATTTTTTATATTTTTAAAAGTATGTAATATCTGGAAAAAAATATTGTTCTAAGATTAAAAACTTTGCAAAAATAACAGAATTATAAAATATGATAGAACTACGAATAGATCTAAAAATAAAGCTGCCTGGAGTTGGATTAGATGTAAATAAATATTTCCATTATCTTCAGGATAGAAAAGGAACAAATCAATAGAAAGATACAGACACATTGTACAACCACACACAAACATAAATACTCTTTTGTAAATACTTTTTTGTTTTGTATAAAAATTTGAAAATGAAATTTAATAATTAAAGATTTGTGTGTGAATGGTTTTCTAGCTATCAACTAAAATATGTGAAAATCGTAATATTGAAATAATTATTAAAAAAATAGCAAAGACACTTCTAACATTTCTTAACAATGCGAATAAATCAAGACAAAGAAAATTGAGAAGCATTTAATTAATATATTAAAGAAGAGATTTTTTTATTAGAATTTTTATTAGAATATTTTTA